GGCAGGTCTCATATTTTGTTTCTGTTTAAATCATTATATTTATTTATTTTACAATGAAATGAGATATTTTGGCTTCATGAAAAGTTATTTTTAAGTAAGATTATACATAAATGCAAATAAGATGTACTACCTGGGCTGAAGGATAAGCAAGAACATTTCTAGTATATGGCCAGCCCTGGAGCTTACCTGAACATTTTTCCCAATCGTAACAGGTGTCATAGCCACAGGATTCTTTCTTTGTGCTATTAGATGAAAGTTTTATCCTTTCAAGAGCCCATTCTAACTGTGGTCCATCTTGACAGGAACCAACAAGTAGAAAATGCAGTTCCTGGTTATTTAAACATTTCTGGGCTGAAAACTCACATGCTGATGAGACAAAGTGATGGTTGGAGGCTGTGTCAAGCACACAGAGGTCTTCTGAAAAAGACCTGCTCGAGAGAGGAAAGCAAGTATTTACATATAAGATGCAAAAAAAGAAAGAGCATAAAACCAATTTTTATGTTAGCTTATCACTTAGTTTTCTTCCTCTTTTTTTTTTTTTTTAAACCAATCTCTATCTTTTTAATCCTTCCATTTTATCCTCTATTCTGCCTGGGATTTATTTTTCTAACATTTCATTTTGACTTTTAACTTCCAATTACCCACAAATTAAAGTCTGTATTCTTGAACTCAGGTAATCACATCTTCCATAATTTGGCTGCAATCAACTTCCTTCCTAGTGTTACTTCCCATCTTCTTAAATTCCTCCTCATCACCTGAAAATTGCATTTATCGTTTTATAACCTGAAGAAAAGGAGTCCCTCCATGAGACAAATGGTCAAAGTTCATGGTTCAAATTCACCTACAAGTGTCTCAAAGAAAGAAATGATCTACTTCTGAAAAGTCACAGCCATTGAGAGCTCTGTGGGGAGCAGTTGGACTCTGACACACAGGGAATCCTCATGAGTTGGAATCAGCTTTAGAGCCACTACTTTTTTTTTTTTTTAACCTGAAAGCATTATTTTTCCTTTGCTGCCTTCCTCATGCTCTGCTCAGTCAGTAATACATTCTCTCTCCTTAGTGTTCAGCTCAATTCTTGGCTATGCTTTGAAGCTTTCTTTGACCAGCCTAGCTCTTTGTTGTTGTTGTTAGGTTCTGCTGACTCAGTTCTCACACATAATGACATTATGTGCAACAGAACAAAACACTGCCCAGTCCTGTGCCATCCTCACAATTGCTGCTATGTTTGAGCTCATTGTTGCAGCCACTGTGACAACTCATCCCCCTGAGGATCTTCCTCTTTCTCACTGACCTCTACTTTACCAAGCATGATGTCCTTCTCCAGGGACTTGTCCCTCCTGATAACATGTCCAATATATGCAAGACAAAATCTCTCCATCTCCACTTCTAAAGAGCATTCTGACTGTATTTCTTTCAAGACAGATTTGTTCATCTATATGTCCTCTGAACTCTAACACTGATCACAATGTTAATTTAGAACCTGTCATATATAGTCTTATATTATATAGCTTTTCAAATATGTCCTTATTGTGATTAAGAGCATGAGTTTTGAAGTCATTCCCTGCATAACTTGCTTAATGTCTTTATGTAGGTCCTACCACTGAGAGGTAACAAATAATCATAGTCTTTCCACCATTTATCAGGCATACAATTCAGTGATATCAATCACATTAATCATGTTGTACTATATTTGTGGCCAAATTTAATCTTGTAAATTTAATCTCATAATTGTTGTCAAATTTCCCATTACCATACAAAAACTCATAGTTTCCTAAACAATGACACCCCATTTCCACCCCTGCTAAGGAGCCCTGGTGGTACCAACAGTTAAGCATTTGGCTATTAACTAAAAGGTTGGTGATTCAAGTCCACCCAGTAGTTCGAGGGAAAAAGACCAAGTGATTTGTTCTTGTAAAAATTACTAATTGCCTTTGAGGTGATTCCAGCTCATAGCTATTTGGTAGGCAGAGTAGAACTGTTCCACAGTAGTGCTGCACCACTATAATCTTTGTGGAAGCAGACAGTCACATTGTTCTCCTCCAGAATAGCTGGTAGATTCAAATCACTGACCTTCTAGTTAATCGCTTAATCACTGTGCCACCAGAGCTCCTTCCCATAAAGATTGTTGTTGTAGTTATTATATACTGTTGAGTCAGTTCTAACTCATGTCAACTCTACAACAGAAGAAAATACTGCCCAGTTGCCAAAGGGGCAGGGAGGCTGCATCTTCTGACCTCCTCTAACCCCACAAGAGGAAGACAGAATCACCATCAATAGCCTAAGGCCTATTCTTGTGAGGTCAGACATGCTGCCTCCCTTCCACCCTTTCATCAACCCTGACACCAACCATTCCTCCTGCAACACCAACAACCTCTCTGCTGGGTTCAGTAATCCACTGTAGTGGCCACACAGAACTCACAGATTATGAGGTTTATTAGGGAAACACCAGACTACAATTCAAGTTCAGGAACAATGCTCAGTCTCTCTCAGCCCACAGTCTCTCAGCCAACAGTCTCTCTCAGTCTCTCTCCCAGCAGTATATGTCTCTCAGCAATGTGTAGCTCTCAGTTTCTCTCTCTCAGCAGCACGTGTCTCTCAGAAGCACATTTCTCTCAGAAGCACGTCTTTCTCAGCCAGCAGTCAGAGAGACTCCTTCTGCCTCTAGGAAGGCTGCTTTCTGAGCCTGGCAGTGTGGCCAAACTAACCAATCCCAACATCAGAATTCTGTACACCTGAGAGAGAGAACTTCTGGGAAGATTGCTTTGTGGCACTCTCAACAGAAATGCCCCAGGTATTTAACTTTAACAATCAGGAGCTCCTCAGTTGCTCACAGCAAATTCCACCATGGAGTTTACAAAGACTTATGGCTAGAAAAGCCATACCAGGTAATTTGCTATGCCACACCAGTCCTTCACCACTCTCATAATCATTGCAACATTTGAGCCATTGTTGCAGTAACTGTGTCAATCTATCTTGTCCAGGGTCTTCCTCTTTTTTTGCTGAGCCTCTACCTTACCAAGCATAATATCCTTCTCCAGGGACTGGTCCCTCTTGATAACACTTCCAAAATACATGCCAAATTATATGACAGTCACCATACTAGCGTGAGACTTTCTACCTCTGCTTTATTTTGTGAGATACCAAAAACCAAACCAAGGAGCTCTGGTGGTGTAGAGCCTAAAGCATTTGACTGCTAACAAAGCCCACCAGCAACTCCTTAGAAGTAAAATTTTATTTTAAGCAAATGACATTTTGAATTTGTCTATTAAATTTAGCTGAAACTAGCCCTTAAGCAACCTACCTTTCTGTGGTTGATTTATGTATAGAAAAGACAGTTATACCAACAAATGGCAGATAGTATAGTAGTGGCAGTGACATGAAGACTTGTCATTTTTCTTCTTCATGATCTGTGCCCCAGCATGAAAGAATAAACTGGTAAAGTGTATGTGTGTGTAAAGTCCATGCTTACAAAACATTTTTTCCATTTTAATATTTTAGAACCACAAACTTGCCTTATATTTAAGAGATAGGGAAGGAACTTTGAGCCTAGAATGGTACTGTTTTAATAAACAAAAGCCATCCAAACTTAGGGACCTAGGCTTAAAGATAATTAAGAAATCTTGCTACCCAGTAGGGAAGGAGGCATTCAAAGAAGCACAGAGGTGCTGCTCGTAAAAAATTAATATGTTCCATGTTTGTGCCATTGAACTGGTTATATTAGATTGGCCTTTTCAATTTCCAAACACAGTCCATAGGGTATCTCTTACCTACAGTCTTCATCTGGAGACATACAAATGCATTCAGAACCTGACTGTTTTTGGCCCAGTTGACAATGGCCCTGTAATTTTGTCAGAATATCTGAAAGAAATAAAAAGAGATAAAAGTTCACAGAAAGGATTCCACATGAGAAACCTGAATTCAGGAGATTGGATCAGTGGGGAAAGATTCCCATTTATCTCCTGGAGTTACAGTATCCATTTTGGATTTTCCAAAAATATTGTTATGAAATATTTCATTGGAAAAGTCCTTTCCAAGTCTCATGAGCTGTCATCTTCCAATCTCAAATTGCCATTAAATTCAGAGAACTAAAGAAAATAGAGTTGGTGATATTTAGGTTCATTTGTTTTTCAAATATGTATTGAGCACCTAAAATGTTTCTGGCACTATGTTTGGTTCTGCGAATAGTGGATAGAGTAAAATCTGACCCAGATCCAGTTATCATAGAGCATACGATCTTGTGGGGAAGATAGACAGTAATCAAACACAGCAATTCAAATAGAATTGCTGTTGCTATTAGTGCCATTAAAGAGAAAGAATATGATCAAGAAAATTGATGCAGCCAGAAAGGTTAGGGATAGCAAAATGGAAAGAGAGAAGGGAGAGTGTTCAAAGCAAAGGAAACATCAAATAAAATGTGCTCAAAAGAAGGACAGCCTGCGAATTTCTTGGAATTGAAGGAGGCCAGTGTGGTTGGAGTACAGAGAAAGAAGAACATGGAGCAAGATGCAGCTAGAGAGTAGGTGGGTGCGAGGCTCTGTAAGATCTTACAGGGCATCTGATAAATTTTTGTCTTTATTTTATAAACAGTAGAAAATCTTTAATGGATTTTAGGCAGAAGATTATTCTATTCTGGTTTCTCTGTGGAGAAGGCATGGTGATCTGGAGAGTCATAGTGGATAAGAGGGCCATCAGTAGACAATCTCTGAGGGGATTATACTAGTTAAGGTGAAAGAAGATGGTAATTCAGACTAGAGTGGCACAGGTGAACATGGAGAGGAGTGGATCAACTTGAGACACATTTATCAGGTTAAATATATGATATAGCATATAGTGGGGAAGTTATGAAAGCTGATGATACTTAATGTGAGTCTTAGGTTTCTGGTTTGCATAGGAGAATAGACAGCAATGCCTTAAATTAACTAGGAAATAGTATAAGATGATTAGTTTTAGGGAAAAGAGAGTGATAAACCAAGAATTCCTCTCTGCTTATGTTGAATTTGTGGTAGATGTGAGTCTCACAAAGAATAGAAAAACAGAAATTTGGAGATTCGGGTCTGAAGGTCAGTGGAGAAATCTGTGCTAAAGATTTTAATTTGTTATTGGTACATTATTAAAGCTGCAAGTGTAGCAAATTCCCAGCGGAAGAGTGTAGCAGGAGGTGAGGAGAAGAGACAGATCTGAGCTTTAAGGAACACCAGCATTTAATGGTCAGTTACAGCCAGAAATCTGTTAGAAACAGAGGGCAGCACCCAGCGAGGTAGGAGCTAAATGAGATGGTGTTACAGTCTTGGAAGTGTGAAGTAAGGAACATACGTCCAAAAAGTCAATATTGTTGAATGTACTGAGAAGACAGGAGGGTGAGAACCACATTAATTTTCCATAGATTTAGCAATATGTGTGTCAACAATGATGGTAGCATGTGTGTTTTAAGTGGTAATGACTTGAAAGACAGGTTTTCTTACAAAAGCCAATGGAGAAATGCAACCCCTAAATGTAGCCATTTTTTGCTGAACGATATTATGGAGGTCTCTATGAGTTGGAAACGTCTCGATGGCAGTGAGTTTGGTTTTGGTTTAGAATGTTATGGTGAGGGACAAAAAGGTGAAAAAAACAGTGGTCTGCTTTCTCTTGAATCCATAGATGTTAATCAAATTATAGTAATAAATTTATAATTAAAGACTAAGATATGCATTTGACAAATGAGCCTATGGTTCTAAGACAGCACAAAGCCATGAGACCCCCACCTAGGAAATTTAAGGAAAGATCCACAAGAAAATGATGCTTGAGCTAAGATCAGAAATTGAATAAATGTATATGTGGAAGATGGGGATGAAAGCGGAAGTAATAACACTTGAAGGAGTCCTAGTGTCACAATGGTTAAGCACTTAGATGCTAACAAAAAGGTTGGAAGTTTGAACTCACCCCAGTAGTTCTGTAGGAGAAAAACCTAGGAATCTGCTCCTGTAAAGACTACAGCCTAGAAAAATCCCGTGGAGCAGTTCTACTCTGTCATATGCAGTCATTATGAATCAGAATTGACTCCACAGAACCCAACAACAACACTTGGGTTTTATATCTATGAAAGGGGAAAAGTTGGTTGTCTTTGTTTATAACTGAGGCCCACCCAAAGCACTTTGACTGGTTGATTTGAACCTGGCACTGATCTTCCAAGCCCAGTGGATGAAAGTACACCTCCCTGGTCTGGATCTGCCATCCACAGAACCAAAATAGCCTGGTAAACAAGTGTCAGGAAGGGGTTGTAGGCTGCCTTTATTTAAATAATCTGTCACATTAGATGGCAGAACAGGGCATTCAGAACATAGCTTCTTCTTTTAGCCTACAGGTACAAGATTTCACAGGGGAAGGAAGTTTATGTGAAAGGCAAAAATGAAGAAAAATTGGTGTGTTTTCTTCATTTCCTACTATTGCTATCTGTTAGACTCATTCCATATGGTGAAATTCAGCCCAGAACCTTAATGAACATGGAATTCTGCAGCATATAAGACCTCAGATATACACTGACCTGGGTTTGATTTTCTTTTTCTGTGTAGGTATGTATCTCTGCCCTTTGTAAATAGATTTACACTTAGGTCAGGAAAGACTCCAAGCTATAAATTGTTTCCAAAGAGAATCAGCTTTCAAGTAACACAGAGCACTGCTCTGTCTCTACTGTTTTGAAAATTTCAATTATCACATGCAAGGAGCCTTTGTTCCCCCACCAAGTGTTGAAGCCTGAACTGGCACTCAGCTGCCCCACACTCCCAGCACTTTTTGAGCTACATATGTGTGAAAATGCTCCACAATTTTTGAAGTGCTAAGGACAAGGGGATCTTCTAAAGTGCTGCAGGAGGTGTCATCTTCTCAGAATAAAGAAGGAACTGTGGAGGTATATGGCATCTCAATCTTGTGGAAAGCAACACTCTCTTTCACACTGAAAGAACTACGAGTCTTCCCTGGCCAAGCGACAGCCAGAAATTTACTTTACTTTACTGGTTCCCACACATTGAGATGAAAGAGTGTCCCGTTTTCTTGATTATTATTATTTTTTTCTTTCTATGACTTCCCTCATTGATCTTTACTTCTGTTAGTATTGTAGGACATAAAGCATACAGCATAGGATAGCTATTTTTCTAGATGTAAAATATTTCACATCAGAATTTAGATTATGATTTAAATTTCTTTTCTAATTGCAGAGCTGTGTGTGTGTGTGCATGCATGCATGCATGCAAGCATGAGCACACACACATGCACAATTACATATACAGAGAAAAGCATCTTCTCTAAGGTGCCCTGAGAATCTTAACTTTCTGAAGCCTGAGGTTCCCTAACACTTCCATCCCTCTGATCAGGGTTCCAGTGAAAGCAAGATATACTGTTAACCTGAAAAACTCTCATGAGGTCTCTGTATCAGTAGCTTAACTAATATTATGTAACAAGTTAATTTCTCTCCTACCCAAACATTTTTTTATAAAATCACTGAAGACAATAAAGAAGGTAGGGTGGCAAAAAACTTGGAGGAATTAGCAGAGCTGGTGTCTAGTTGCTGTTTGGCCAAGACTGTATAATCTTATATTTAATTTAGCCTCTTTGTGTGTCTGGTTTTTCCATAAGTAAAACAGTCCTAATCATGAACAAACATGAAATCGAGATGTATAGATTATTACTGGTGATTGGAATGTGAAAGTTGGAAACAAAGAAGAATCACCAGTATTTGGAAAATATGGCCTTGGTGATAGAAATAATGCTGGAGATTACATGATAGAATTTTGCAAGACCAATGATTCATTGCAAACACCTTTTTTCAACAACATAAATGGTGGCTATACACTTGGACTTCACCAGATGGAATACACAGGAATCAGATCAACTGCATCTGTGGAAAGAGGTGATGGAGGAGCCCAATGTCTTCAGCCAAAACAATGCCAGAAGCTGACTGTGAAACAGACCATCAATTGCTCACATGCAATGTCAAGTTGAAGCTGAAGAGAGTTAAAACAAGTTCATGAGAGCCAAAATACGATCTTGATTATATTCCAAGTGAATTTAGAGACCATCTAAAGAACAGATTTGATGCATTGAACACCAATGACCAAAAACCAGATGAGCTGTCAGATGACTTCAAGAACATCATCCATGAAGAATGTAAAAGGTAATTAAAAAGATAGGAAAGGAAGAAAAGACCAAAATGGATGTCAGAAGAGACTCTGAAACTTGCTCTTGAATCGAGAGTAGCTAAAGCAAGTGGAAGAAATGACAAGATAAAAGAGTGGAACAGAAGATTTCAAAGAGCAGATCAAGAAGACAAGTCAATTACTATAATGGAATGTACAAAGACCTGGAGTTAGAAAACCAAAAGGGAAGAACACGCTCAGCATTTCTCAAGCCAAAAGAACTGAAGAAAAAATTCAAGCCTCAAGTTGCAATGTTGAATGATTTTAGGGGCAAAATATTAAATGATTCAGGAAGCATCAAAAGAAGATGGATGGAATATACAGAACCATTGTATGAAAAAGAATTGGTTGATGTTCAACTGTTTCAGAGGTGGTGTACGAACAAGAACCAATGGTATTGAAGGAAGAAGTTGAAGTTGCACTGAAGGAATTGGTGAAAAACAAGGCTCCAGGAATTGACGGAATACTCACGGAGGTGTTTCAACAAATGGATGCTCTGTTGGAGGCACTTACTTGTCTGTGCTAAGAAATTTGGATGATAGCTACCTGGCCAACTTACTGGGAGAGATCCATATTTGTGCCCATTCCAAAGAAAAGTGATCCAATGGAATGTGAGAAATTGTCAAACAATATTATTAATATCACATGCAAGTAAGTTTTGCTGAAGATATATCAAAAAGAGTTGCA